CAGTTTTCAGGGCATTTTTATCAGATTTTTTTCTCCCTTGCTTTTGCTTGGGGGGGTCCTAAGCCACACGCTAGGCACCAGCCCCAGCAGAGAGGTGACCCAAAGCGTGGAGCAAGGGGTGATCCTTTCCCTTGCGGGCCCTGGCTACAGCTGGGTGACCCGAGGAGGACCAGCCCTTGCTCTGCCCACCATGAGAATCACCACGGTCCCCTCTGCCCCACCATCCCATCTCACACCTCAGCCTTGTTCACCACCAGCAAAAACGCCCTGGAAAGAAAAAAACAAGAACACAGCTTGTGACCGCTGGGCACTAAAGATGATGGATTGAAGAGCAGTATTGCTCTCACAGCGTTTTACAGGTTTCCCCAACAGCAGCTTCTCTGCTTCACAGGTAATTATTGCCTCTATTTTCTCTCTGTTTTATGGGATTAACGACCATATCACCTCTGCCCTTCCTAACCTATCGTTCTGCCTGACAACCACCCTTTTTGCCTAATTGCCCAACCGACATCATTAAGTCACACTCAGTCATCCTCGGCCAGGACTTGGCTTGAAGCGTGCTCTACTCTGGACCCACAGAAAAGTTCACATGCCTGAAAACGTGTCCAACTCCACTCACAGAAGATACTTGCAGAAAATACTGCTTTTACCTAAAGCCCCACCTCAGAGCTTCAGAAACAGGACAGAGCAAACCAATTCCCTTCTCTCACAGCTCATCTGCCTTGCGATCGGAGATGGCTCGAGCATCTCTCTGCTTCGCAAAGTCCTGCAGGAGAGATGAGGACACAGCACGCACTCTTTTCACAGAAACAAGGAGTTTTGCAGCTGTGCGTGCTACAAGGAAGGAGGGATGATGGAGAGAAATACAAGGATGCACAGCTACTTCCATGCTAGCCATTGCTCAACACATCTGAAGACTTACTCTTGTTTGCTGCCTTCCCTCCCACCTCAGCTCAGAGCAGTCCAGTTCTGTCAAGCCATAGCAGCTTTCCCCTCCCAGCCCCAAGCAGCATTATTTTGTTGCTTTTCTTTTCCTGTTTGCCAATGGAGGAGCGTGTTTGAACAAGGCATTTGCTTTGCAGACAACGCATAAAGAGCTGAGAGTAGCTATCTGACCAAGAGTGACCTTCAGCCTCGTGTTCAAGCTCATGCTGGCAGCCCCAGCAACCTCCCCAAGTATGGTGCATCTCCATGCCAGCGTGGCTGCACCTTGCTCAGAAAACCAACGTGCTCTGTGGTGGCCCTCTGCGTGCCACGCAACTTCTAGGCGAGTTCTCCACATCCCATGCTTAGCTCCTGCTGCCTTATGGGCGAGCATAGTCATGGGCAAAGCAGCAGGTAGGAGCAAATTCCTCCTTGTTCTACCTCCTGGGATATTTCCTAGTCTATGGAGGTCTTCAGCTCATGCTAACCTACACTTGGTCAGCTGATAGCTCTCCATTGCATTGATTACACGGACTAGATCTTTAAGGCAAGTCTCAGTTGCCCACACAGGGGTACAAAGTGGTGTTTGAGGTGCTCGGGGTATCCAAGTTGCCCATACGGAGCTGATGGTAAGAGCTCAGCACCCCTGGGAGAATTGCACCCTCCTCGAACCACAACTGGAGGCCAGGTGGGCTTCTCAGGTCTCTAAAACTGGCACTGGTCTCTGAGATGTCTGCAACTGAATTTCACATTTACATTTAGGTGTGGGAGTCTGGGAGCTGAACCTTGCCCAGTGCCCAGCCGGAGCCCATTTACCAGGCATGGGCGAAAACCCTCATTTATATCACTGCGATAAGGCTGGAAGGACCTCAAAGGCAATCTCATTCAGGGAGCCCCAGATTTCACGAGCGGTGCAGTAAACTGTTTAGTTTCTAATTTTGTGAAAGAAAAATGCATGTTGGGGGAGACTCAAGGGAAGAGGGGGTGATGACGCTACTGTGTCTGCAGCAGCGAAACTGCTTTAAGAGTCCCTGTTCCCAGCTGGCTTGGCCACAGGATCATTGAAAAGATCTGGGTTTGAACAAACAAGAAAGAAAACCCTGACAGCAGTGTTTAAAACCACCCTGTTACCGGATTGTTTCGACAACTCAGCTTGCATCCTTGCTACCGACGAGGCAGCAGCTCCCACCACCTCCCGACCCCGAAGCTGGGGGCACCTGAGCTGCCTCCTCCCCGTGCTGCTCCGCAGTGCTGAGCACGATCCAAAAATCTCTCCAGATGCATTTTTCTGGCATGGCGTGGCACGGCGTGGCATTCAGCCCATTGCTGACCCCAGATCTGTGCAGGGCTCCTTGTGCAGCATCTGCTCCAGCAGAAACCACTCCCGACACACGTTGGTCCTCCCTCTTCTCAAACCTCCACGGACAGAGACGTTGCCTCGCCGCAGCCCCCAACACAAATGCCTGTCCTCACCACTGAAAAATGTTCTTCCTAACTTCAACCTCTCTGGATGTAATTTAAGCCAATTACCTCCTGTCCCATTCCTGGTGAACACAGACAACAGTTCGTTCCCTTCCTCTTTGCAGAAGCCTGTTACATATTTGTACGCTGTTATAAAGTTTTCCTAAACTGAACAACGGCAAGCCCTTTGATCTTCCTTCCTTGGCCATGATTTCCAGTCCTCTGGTCTCTTTCGCAGCCCAACTCCGGACTGTCTCCAACCAGTCTGTGTCCTTCCAGCACTGCAGCCCACAAATTCGGGCTCAGAGGTCTCAGTAGCACCAAGCTGGAGAGGGAGACTGGATGCTTGGACCATGCCCAGCAGAACTGAGCTCACACCTTCCCTCTGCCATCATTTTTTGACGAGGAAAATGGTTTCCCTGAGCATCAGTTCTCCCTGGCTCTACCTGGGCACAGCATTACCCCAGATGCAGACACACTCAGCTTTCCTTGGGTGCCATTTCCCCAGCAGGGTGGGGAGAGCAGCTGTAAAACAATATTTAGAAGGGAGCCAAGCAACTAGGTGTGTCTCAGAAAGCCCAAGACCTACTTTAGTCATCGGCTTATCTATCTGGGAAAGGGGTCGGGGTGACTCCGGGGTTAAGGATGTCCCACGTTACCTTCACCTGCTTTCTACAGTCCTTGGGAGAAAAGAATAATAGAAGATTGTCCACTAGATGACTAGAAAAACAAATAAAAATATAACAAGCCAAAAAGCAAGAAGTCAGTCCCCTCTGCACCGGGGAACTTCCTCATCGAAATTCCAGCATGCAAATCTCTCCCGCCCGTCCCACCTGCCCGGTGGGATCAAAAATGCCAGGGATCAAAAATGCCAGATCAAAAGTGCCAGGGAAGCACGAGGGTTTTACGAGGTGCACGGCACAAGGAGAGGAGGAGCAGGCAGCTCAGGCGGCCTCGGATGGCGACGGAGATTTCTCCGGTGCCAGTTGACACATGCCCTGCTGCGTCCCAGTTTCAGGGGGAAAACAGCTTTCCCAGGAGGGGTGGGAGGCACGGCAGGAGCCGACTGTGTCTCGCCAGCTAGGTGGAAAGGCGAGGGCTTCTTGTCTCTGCCGCCAGGAATTAGGCCTTTCCTGGTGACAATACCAGCTGCCGCAGACAGCAAAAAATCAGCATTCCGGCAAAAAAAGAAAATTAGAAATGACGCTACTGTAAATTAATATGAATGTTTGCAATTACAATTAATTACTATCACTTAGGTATTCACAGCTGCATGTTTGGTAACTATCAAGCTGTAAAGACTTGAGCTGTAGGTTTGTTAAATGAGAGTCTGGTTGACCATGTCTGCGCTGCAGAAGGTCAACTGCACCGGCGCGGTGGACGTGTCTGGGACCATCCTCCAGCCCCGAGGCCATCTGGCAGGGACAAGCCTTTGCCCACTGAATTGACCTCCCCTACCTGCCAAAACAGGGTGGCCACATCCAACCTGCCGATTGGGAAGGGTCTGGGGCCACGCACACTCCCGAACCATGCCTGAGAATTACCTGGGCGAGTGCTAATAATTTAACAGCGAGGATAATTGGTGTCTGAACCCTGGAACTGTTTAATTTGCTGGTATAGACACAGCCTCAGGGCTTTCGCCGTAGCCCTATCCCAGGAAAGCGTCCCAGAGGCTGAAAACCATTCAAGCAGGTGTGAAATGTTTTCCTGGGTTAGGACTAAGAGTTTGGTCTTAAGCTGAAGGGAAACCTTGCCCTGGTAACCCCAAAAGGCCAGTCCTGACATATATTGTGCTTCAGTGTCCAACACCGGGCTGGGTTTTGTCTGCTCCTTCCAGCACCTTGGGGCCAAACCCCAGAGAGATGCTATCTAACCCCTGCATACCACCACAGGCGTGCACGAGCCCTGGGCTGGTCCGCCTGCAGACAAAGCTTGCAAACGTCTTCAGAACACTGGAGCCAGGCAAGAAAACTGCGACTTCACCACTCCCAGGGTCTGGATGTGCAGGATCATCCCCAGGACTGCTTGTTCGTAGGGATTTTCTGCCTGTGTAGCTCACCACAGTGAAGCTTTCGATGTCAAGATGTCCAGGACGTGACCTTGAAGGCTATGTGTAGCCCAGTCTGCCCTTGGGGGTGAGCTGGCTTTGCATCCCTTCCGCCAAGTTGACAGTGGAGTTGTCGTCTCCCAAGCAATGCTGGAGAAGGGTGATTTCTGGCCGAAGCAGAAACTAGTGACAGTGTGTGGCTGTGCTGATGAGCTGCTCGATTTCTCCTGGGTCCGCTGGTGAGATGAAACAGCTCAGGAGGGTGGGAAGTCAAACCTCGCTGCAGCCCTGCAGCGCTGGAGCCATCGCTTCCTGGGAAGCCGGTGGTTCCTGCGGAGAACGAAGGGCCTCCTGACCGATGCTGCTCACGTCACTTCTGCACACCAAGGGCTTGCTCCACACTGCACCGCGGCTCTGGGGGACTTTTGACCAGGTCCTTAGCAACAAAATACAGGACGCAGGTCTGCGTCACCCCTCTGTCTGCACTCACCCTTTAACCTGGTAACACCCTCATGCTTCTGACAGCATATGCAACCTGAAGCCCAGCTGTGCTATTGCAACCTCCTACCTGTAAATGCTGTTGGGATCACTCCCTCCACCACCTGCTTTGCGATTAACGAAGTATTCTCGGCCACTTCAACCATGAAGTAGCCAAAGGGATCTGAACCCATACGCCAGGTACAAAGATGCTTCGATTGTCTCGCCAGCCCCATGCCGGGCATGTTTTGCCCATCAAGCAACAAGACTCCCAACCAGTCCCACCAAGGAAGTTAATTCTCCAGCCAAGTTTTGCATCTCTTAAGCAATTGCCTTTCCATAGCAAGGAAGGAAGATTCCTTGGAGCAGGATCTCTCTCGGTGGGACACGACAGACTGTGATGGGACAGGGAGGATGGTACTGAGTATTACAGACATGCAGTGAATGCTTAGCTCAGGGCCTCAGGCTGTTGCACCACGCTCTGCTCCACCTCCTGTCAATGGTCTGATGCAAAACCACATTTTTCCGACCGCAGTGACTGCAGGCTACTTATATCCTGCCCTCAGCCCTCTGAGCAGGTGGACGTAAGTGGACACATCCCAGGCTGTACCTAGAAAGAGGTGCACATGAGAGCTGGAGGGGTTTCACAGCACAAGCTGCGATGCTGAGGCCAGAAGCAAGTGCTCAACAGATAAACTAGGGATTTCCACCTAGTTTAGCCACGGTTTCAATAGAAGCCAATCCAGGCGCACCCTGCCAGCAGCTGCTTCAGGCTCTTCACATAGCTTTCTGCTTTCTCATAAGCCAGTGGAGCCGAGGGCAGCTGAGGTCAGGAAAGGACCCAGCCAAGATAAAGTTACGCTCGTATCTCAACCCCTGGGGAACGTTAGCCAGGGTCTTCCTCTTTACAGCCCATTGGTATGTGTCTAATACCCACCAAAAGCAAATTTGGACAATAAATATTAGGTTCCCAGTGATCTCTCCCTTATAAAGCAAATCTCACTGCCTCAAAAAGCCCCAAAGCTGTGCTGCAGTGAGCAGGGGAAGCCGTAGCTTCAGGTGGGGCTGGCGGTGCTGAGGGAGGAGCACCCACTGCTGGAGGCACTGCCAGCTGGCCTTGCAGAGGGTCCGTCCCTCAGCATGGGCAATATTAAGGATATTCACCTGAAGGACACTTTTCCCCTCTTCTGTGGGTTTCTTCTAATCTGAATCA